CATGTATGTGTGGTCCTGTGGCGCAACGGATAACGCGTCTGACTACGGATCAGAAGATTCCAGGTTCGAATCCTGGCAGGATCGTTTCATTTTGTCGCTTAAGCGTTCAAAACATGTGCTAATATGATATTTACCTCCGAAATATTCAACAGCATGTATGTGTGGTCCTGTGGCGCAACGGATAACGCGTCTGACTACGGATCAGAAGATTCCAGGTTCGAATCCTGGCAGGATCGTTTCATTTTGTCGCTTAAGCGTTCAAAACATGTGCTAATATGATATTTACCTCCGAAATATTCAACAGCATGTATGTGTGGTCCTGTGGCGCAACGGATAACGCGTCTGACTACGGATCAGAAGATTCCAGGTTCGAATCCTGGCAGGATCGTTTCATTTTGTCGCTTAAGCGTTCAAAACATGTGCTAATATGATATTTACCTCCGAAATATTCAACAGCATGTATGTGTGGTCCTGTGGCGCAACGGATAAGCGTCTGACTACGGATCAGAAGATTCCAGGTTCGAATCCTGGCAGGTCGTTCATTTTGTCACTTAAGCGTTCAAAACATGTGCTAGTATGATATTTACCTCCGAAATATTTATGTGTGGTCCTGTGGCGCAACGGATAACGCGTCTGACTACGGATCAGAAGATTCCAGGTTCGAATCCTGGCAGGATCGTTTCATTTTGTCACTTAAGCGTTCAAAACATGTGCTAATATGATATTTACCTCCGAAATATTCAACAGCATGTATGTGTGGTCCTGTGGCGCAACGGATAACGCGTCTGACTACGGATCAGAAGATTCCAGGTTCGAATCCTGGCAGGATCGTTTCATTTTGTCGCTTAAGCGTTCAAAACATGTGCTAATATGATATTTACCTCCGAAATATTCAACAGCATGTATGTGTGGTCCTGTGGCGCAACGGATAACGCGTCTGACTACGGATCAGAAGATTCCAGGTTCGAATCCTGGCAGGATCGTTTCATTTTGTCGCTTAAGCGTTCAAAACATGTGCTAATATGATATTTACCTCCGAAATATTTATGTGTGGTCCTGTGGCGCAACGGATAACGCGTCTGACTACGGATCAGAAGATTCCAGGTTCGAATCCTGGCAGGATCGTTTCATTTTGTCGCTTAAGCGTTCAAAACATGTGCTAATATGATATTTACCTCCGAAATATTCAACAGCATGTATGTGTGGTCCTGTGGCGCAACGGATAACGCGTCTGACTACGGATCAGAAGATTCCAGGTTCGAATCCTGGCAGGATCGTTTCATTTGTCGCTTAAGCGTTCAAAACATGTGCTAATATGATATTTACCTCCGAAATATTCAACAGCATGTATGTGTGGTCCTGTGGCGCAACGGATAACGCGTCTGACTACGGATCAGAAGATTCCAGGTTCGAATCCTGGCAGGATCGTTTCATTTTGTCGCTTAAGCGTTCAAAACATGTGCTAATATGATATTTACCTCCGAAATATTCAACAGCATGTATGTGTGGTCCTGTGGCGCAACGGATAACGCGTCTGACTACGGATCAGAAGATTCCAGGTTCGAATCCTGGCAGGATCGTTTCATTTTGTCGCTTAAGCGTTCAAAACATGTGCTAATATGATATTTACCTCCGAAATATTCAACAGCGTATATGTGTGGTCCTGTGGCGCAACGGATAACGCGTCTGACTACGGATCAGAAGATTCCAGGTTCGAATCCTGGCAGGATCGTTTCATTTTGTCGCTTAAGCGTTCAAAACATGTGCTAATATGATATTTACCTCCGAAATATTCAACAGCATGTATGTGTGGTCCTGTGGCGCAACGGATAACGCGTCTGACTACGGATCAGAAGATTCCAGGTTCGAATCCTGGCAGGATCGTTTCATTTTGTCGCTTAAGCGTTCAAAACATGTGCTAATATGATATTTACCTCCGAAATATTCAACAGCATGTATGTGTGGTCCTGTGGCGCAACGGATAACGCGTCTGACTACGGATCAGAAGATTCCAGGTTCGAATCCTGGCAGGATCGTTTTTTTGTCGCTTAAGCGTTCAAAACATGTGCTAATATGATATTTACCTCCGAAATATTCAACAGCATGTATGTGTGGTCCTGTGGCGCAACGGATAACGCGTCTGACTACGGATCAGAAGATTCCAGGTTCGAATCCTGGCAGGATCGTTTCATTTTGTCGCTTAAGCGTTCAAAACATGTGCTAATATGATATTTACCTCCGAAATATTCAACAGCATGTATGTGTGGTCCTGTGGCGCAACGGATAACGCGTCTGACTACGGATCAGAAGATTCCAGGTTCGAATCCTGGCAGGATCGTTTCATTTTGTCGCTTAAGCGTTCAAAACATGTGCTAATATGATATTTACCTCCGAAATATTCAACAGCATGTATGTGTGGTCCTGTGGCGCAACGGATAACGCGTCTGACTACGGATCAGAAGATTCCAGGTTCGAATCCTGGCAGGATCGTTTCATTTTGTCGCTTAAGCGTTCAAAACATGTGCTAATATGATATTTACCTCCGAAATATTCAACAGCATGTATGTGTGGTCCTGTGGCGCAACGGATAACGCGTCTGACTACGGATCAGAAGATTCCAGGTTCGAATCCTGGCAGGATCGTTTCATTTTGTCGCTTAAGCGTTCAAAACATGTGCTAATATGATATTTACCTCCGAAATATTCAACAGCATGTATGTGTGGTCCTGTGGCGCAACGGATAACGCGTCTGACTACGGATCAGAAGATTCCAGGTTCGAATCCTGGCAGGATCGTTTCATTTTGTCGCTTAAGCGTTCAAAACATGTGCTAATATGATATTTACCTCCGAAATATTCAACAGCATGTATGTGTGGTCCTGTGGCGCAACGGATAACGCGTCTGACTACGGATCAGAAGATTCCAGGTTCGAATCCTGGCAGGATCGTTTCATTTTGTCGCTTAAGCGTTCAAAACATGTGCTAATATGATATTTACCTCCGAAATATTCAACAGCATGTATGTGTGGTCCTGTGGCGCAACGGATAACGCGTCTGACTACGGATCAGAAGATTCCAGGTTCGAATCCTGGCAGGATCGTTTCATTTTGTCGCTTAAGCGTTCAAAACATGTGCTAATATGATATTTACCTCCGAAATATTCAACAGCATGTATGTGTGGTCCTGTGGCGCAACGGATAACGCGTCTGACTACGGATCAGAAGATTCCAGGTTCGAATCCTGGCAGGATCGTTTCATTTTGTCGCTTAAGCGTTCAAAACATGTGCTAATATGATATTTACCTCCGAAATATTCAACAGCATGTATGTGTGGTCCCTGTGGCGCAACGGATAACGCGTCTGACTACGGATCAGAAGATTCCAGGTTCGAATCCTGGCAGGATCGTTTTCATTTTGTCTTACTATGAATATTTACCTCCGAAATATTTAAACAGCATGTATGTGTGGTCCTGTGGCGCAACGGATAACGCGTCTGACTACGGATCAGAAGATTCCAGGTTCGAATCCTGGCAGGATCGTTTCATTTTGTGTCGCTTAAGCGTTCAAAACATGTGCTAATATGATATTTACCTCCGAAATATTCAACAGCATGTATGTTGGTCCGTGTCGCAACGGATAACGCGTCTGACTACGGATCAGAAGATTCAGGTTCGAATCCTGGCAGGATCGTTTCATTTTGTCGCTTAAGCGTTCAAAACATGTGCTAATATGATATTTACCTCCGAAATATTCAACAGCATGTATGTGTGGTCCTGTGGCGCAACGGATAACGCGTCTGACTACGGATCAGAAGATTCCAGGTTCGAATCCTGGCAGGATCGTTTCATTTTGT